TTAATCTTCAGTTTTATTATAATTATTGCAATTAGATAAATGTACAGTATTAACTTTGTCATTGTACCGAAACTGTTGATTTCTCATCGTATGGCTCAGATATCAGAACTTGCATAAGATTCGGATACGGTCTCTATTTGGACATAACTCAATAATATATAATGTATGAAAGGTTTATATCTGGATGGTTATGCGTTCATGTTAAGGATCAAGAAAATGTTAAATGTTTCGAAAATTGTAAATTACAAGATTGAAATTTCATTCAGTTGCGTCCTATTTCACTGTCTGTTGCCTCAGATGTTTCAGCAGACCATCTAATGTGTAAACAGAATGATCACAGTCGTTCTCACAAATGAACGTCAGCTTGGACCTGTCACTTGCAGACAAATTGCGTTTCTTACTCTATGGCAGACTTTATGAACCCTCAGAACACGACAGCGAAATGTTGCGTAGGCGCAGATTGCAAGGGTGCAAATTACCTGTCAGCATAAGAACATTAAATTATGTAGGTCACTGTGTTTATTGCTCCAGTGTGTACGTGTCAAATAAACAGTGACGACCAACACAGGCAACAGATTTTTAACTGTTTATGAATATTGTAATTTTGGTTGTTGGCATTTGAATGTTAAAAGTGTTAAAGGCATTATACAAAGACTCGTGTATTGGATGACTCAACTTTTCGTTGATTTTCATTGAGCTGTGCACTTCCATTCAAATTTGAAAAATGGCAGCCGCTTACTGCTAACCCATAACTCATATATGACACGGATAATTACCGTTTGGAAGTTTCGCCAAGGTAACAGTGCACATCCGTGAATCGTGAGTGAGTATGATTTTACGCCACTTTTAGCAATATTCCATCAATATCAAGGCGGGGGACACCAGAAATAGACTTCACACATTGTACCCATGTGGGGAATCGAACCCGGGTCTTCGGCGTGACGAGCGGACGCTTTAATCACTAGACTACCACAGCGCCCCTTTTTGGTACTGGCTACATATTGTATTTAATTTTACTCAAATCTCATAGAAAAACTTAACTTAGCAGTCTCTTTGAGGTCATTACAACCATAGTTTACTGTATGTCTCCAATGAGAAACTGTCAAAATGGTGACAAATAGAGATCAACGCTTTAACCATTAGGCTACCCCGTCGCCCCATGCATATGACGGAAAGGAAAATTTTACCGCGAGAAGATTAAACGGAAATTTTACCCACATTATTTTAACTTCATTGGAGACAGATGTGGTTGTACTGGAGGATCGTGCCATTGAAGCTAAGATATTATTCTAATCTTTTCACAGATTTATTCGCACCCCATTTTCAAACAACTAACATGTTCATTGTTCCAGCATGTCAGTGATTGGCAGCCAATGCTTATAAGGCTATATATAACTATTCAAAGTCAAGTTTTTCGCATTTTTATCCCCCGCAACGCGTTTTGCGGGGGGTATTAAAATGGACTCCGTCCGTGCGTCCGTCCGTCAGTCCGTCCGTCCGTCCGTCCGTCCGTCCGTCCGTCCGTCAGTCCGTCCGTCCGTGCACATTTGTCTTTTCCGGAGCAGAACTCTAAAACCGTTCAATATTTCTTCACCAAACTTGGCACATACATGGATCTGGTGGTGTACTGGTGCCTTTTGGTAGTTTTGGAATTCTGAATTAAATGTTTTTGGCGTTTCCATGGCAACAAGTTCGACTTTGACTGAAATTAGTGGTAGTGCTCTTTTCCGGAGCAGAACTCTGAAACCGTTCAATATTTCTTCACCAAACTTGGTACATGGATAGATCTGGTGGTGTACTGGTGCCTTTTGGTAGTTTTGGAATTCTGAATAAAATATTTTTGGCGTTTCCGTGGCAACAAGTTTGACTTAGACTGAAATTGGTGGTAGTGCTCTTTTCCGGAGCAGAACTCTAAAACCTTTCAATATTTCTTCACGAAACTTGGCACATAGATAGATCTGGTGGTGGACTGGTGCCTTTTGGTAGTTTGGGAATTCTGCATAAAATATTTTTGGCGTTTCCATGGCAACAAGTTTGACAGCCTGAAATTGTAGTAGTGCTCTTTTCCGGAGCAGAACTCTAAAACCGTTCAATGTTTCTTCACCAAACTTGGCACATAGATTGGTCTGGTGGTGTACTGGTGCCTTTTGGTAGTTTTGGAATTCTGAATAAAATATTTTTGGCATTTCCATGGCAACAAGTTTGACTGAAATTGGTGATAGTGCTGCTTTCTGGAGCAGAACTTTAAAAACCTTTCAATACTCTCCTTCCACTTTTCTATATACACACCTAAATATTTCTATATACACACCTAAATATTTGACATAATCATAACTCGTAGACATAATCATGAAGAGTATTTTGCCATTGCGGGGGATATTGATGACTTTGTCTTCTTGTTATACCTACAATACTTATTTTCAGGCTCCAATCAAAATAATATTTTAAGCTTCCAGATATCCATGTGAAAAGGATATTATCTTTTTCACATGAATATCTGAAAGCTTAAAAATTGAACGAAAATGGTAGAATATTGTGAACATATACATAAGACCTTGACTTTAGCACAACGGAGAGTGACGTGGGTCTTGGGTGTTATAGGTGCAAACCTATGCTTCAAAACACAACCTGCTTCACATATGAAATACATCACCAACAATGTGAATAAGCAGTTCTTGTTTGTTGTAGATTAGGCATCATCAAACCTGAGTCTATTCCTTTTTTGTATTACTGCGCGTAAAACGAATAGATAAGATAATGGGGCTTAAATATTCATTGAGATTGATGCTGATTCAATTTATGGTTTAAAAAAATCAAACCAGGTCCAGGGTAGTACATGCATTCCAGATGCAGAGGATCCTGCGTCACCTTGCTGAAACCCACGTGGTTATGACGTAAAGACAATAGAGTGACGTCATCATATAATGTGATATGAAGTCAACAATACAGAGGGGTATTATGTTGTTACTGAACATGTTCTTCGCTTTTATCAATCAATCTTTATTTCAGTACTTAAAAAGGCCACAGGCCTGTAGTACATTTAGATTTTACATGAGTAGATAGAAATCATTTATAAATTCTCTTCTGTAACAATACTTTTTCTTAATCTCATAGCGAAATAGATGTACATTGCCAGATTCTGTAATATTGATGTGGTAGTATCTGTTAATAGTGAAATTAATGTTCTTACACTTGGATGCTTATAATAGTATGGCTTTAGGTATTTTGTTCGTAGAGTCGTATAAGCAGGACAGATTAGAAGAAAATGTAGTTCATCCTCAACAGTACTCATATTACATAACTGACATATTCTGTTTTCTCTTTGTATACCTGCATACCTGCCAGTTTCAATAAATAATTCATGGGAAGAGCAACGAAAACGAGAGAGCTATACGGAACTTCTTTACGCCGATTTTTGCTAAATAGTCTTCAAAACGTATGTCCGATTTCCATTGGTTATAGTATAAACATTTTGTGGATAGAAGTAGTGATTCCGACCAAGACTGGAAATAGATATCTTTCATTCTTTGTGTAAATGATATAATAAAATTGGTATGCAACTGAACATTGTGATCACACCACACATAACCATAACCAGTTTTGTACAACAACTCCCTAATATCACTCACCCAATTCCTTTTCCCATTTTCGTCATACAATTTCATCATATCATAACATTTTTTCGGAAACCTATGGCATGGCATATGCAGTAATCTTACCCAATACTTTATGGCTTTAATGGAAGAGTATATAAACAAGGGGAATCTACCTAATTCTCCGTAAACCATCGTATTACATGTGTTATATACATGCATATAAATGAACTCTTTCAATACTGTCATATTGTTGTAATCCCCATATTTCAGAGCCATATATTCATCTATTTGTTTCTGTAAACCGCTAACAGTACTAGAGAATAGTACAATATCATCGGCAAAGAGTAGCAGAAATAGTTGTATTGTATCTGGGTGTAGTTGAATCCCATTCGTACATGTGTAATTAGTAATATTTCAGCAATATCACGGCGGGGGTCACCAATAATGGGCTTCACACATTGTACCCATATGGAGAATCGAAGCCAGGGACGAGGGAACACTTTAACCACTAGTCTACCCTACAGCTCCTGTTCTGCACTTGTTCATGTTATTTAATTGACAGAGCGTTAGCCTTGAGGGAGGGGGAACGGTGGTTCGATGCCTGGCGCATCATTCTGAAAGAGGTTAAAAGATGGAACTTTTTTTTTTCTTTTTTCTTTTTGTCCCATGTTTTTATTCCCAGAATTATGTTTACAGACTTTACCTCAGTAGTACAGTACAGGTAGCTTCTTAGTATGCAAGTACATTGTTTCTTTGATCTCATTGTCAAAAAACATGCTGTTCACATATATGTAAAAAACGGTCAAAAACTAAGCATGTATATGAAGTGTTACATGTTTACAGACTTTATCTCAGTAGTACAGTACAGTACAATACAGGTAACCTCATAGTACATAAATATGTAAAAGATGAAACGTGTTACCCTTCCTGGTGCTTGTCATTTAGGGCCCGCCCAAGGAATGGTCGCTGAGAGTCAGTTTACTTTCTGACTTGGGTATCTTGGGTATTTAACCGCGGCATGACATTTCAGCAGTCTTGCAATAAACAAAATCCCCGTAGGCAGACACACAAATTACGTGCACGTCTCACCACACACCCCATTCAATTGTCCACTTCTTTGTTTTTGGGTTTGTTTGGTTTAACGCCGCACTCAGCAATATTCAAGCTATATGACATCAATCTGTAATTAATCGAGTCTGGACCAGACAATCCAGTGTTCAACAACATGGGCATCGGTCTGCGCAATTGGGAACCGATGACATGTGTTACCCAAGTCAGCGAGCCTGACCACCCAATCCCGTTAGTCGCCTCTTACGACAGGCATGGGTTACTGAAGATCAGTTCTAACCCGGACCTTCACGTGGTTTGTCAACTTAAAATAATGTATGACGATTCTGCTTTCAGTTGACAGAGAAACGATAAACGAAACATGTCACAGGAACGACTAAACTACACCAACTATCTAAAGGTAAGAATGACAACGTAGTCATGATACAGATATAAACTGACGTAGAAAAGAAAGTACACACCTGGTGCTTTTGGATTACTTTCTAAAAAGCGACGTAAATGTTTTGAAAAGAGTTTTTACAGTGATATATAAGTCACAGACATTCCTAATATGTTGCCGACACTTTTCACCAGGTGTGCACTTTCATTTGTACGTCAGTATATGTCAAAGTACACTGAACGTTCAGTGACGTCTAACCAGTGGTTATGTTGACCTCAAAGCAATTGGTCTACTGATTGTGTTATACAGGGTGACACAACTGGGGGTCCACTAACATGATCATATTAAACAGAATTATCAAAACAGAAACGAATACCGAATTTCCTACAGCACATAGCAGCCCATTAGATGAAATAGCTACATATGTGAACTCATAGTGATATTACTTGGTTCTGCAAGAAAGGCCAGTAAATATGCACAATGATTGACGCCATCGACATACTGATGTAATGGTATTAAAGCAATATGCGTCACAAGGTTTCCGATAACAGTTCATGATTGCATATAACATTATATATCAGAAAGTCCCTGTTACAGTTCATGATTGTACATAGCATTATATGTGAGAAAGTCCCTGGTTACAGTTCATGATTGTATATAACATTATACGTGACAAGGTCCCTGGTTACAGTTCATGATTGCATATAACATTATACGTGACAAGGTCCCTGGTTACAGTTCATGATTGCATATAACATTATATGTGGCAAGGTCCCTGGTTGCAGTTCATGATTGTATATAACTTTATATGTGAGAAAGGCCCTGTTACAGTTCATGATTGTATATAACATTATATATGAAAAAATCCCTGGTTACAGTTCATGATTGCATATAACATTATATAGCAGAAAGTCCCTGGTTACAGTTCATGATTGTATATAACATTATATGTGGCAAGGTCCCTGGTTGCAGTTCATGATTGTATATAACATTATATGTGGCAAGGTCCCTGGTTACAGTTCATGATTGCATATAACATTATATGTGAGAAGGTCCCTGGTTGCAGTTCATGATTGTATATAACATTATACGTGACAAGGTCCCTGGTTGCAGTTCATGATTGCACGTAACATCATATGTGAGATGGTCCCTGGTTACAGTTCATGATTGTATATAACATTATATGTGAGAAGGTCCCCGGTTACAGTTCATGATTGCATATAACATTATATGTGACAAGGTCCCTGGTTACAGTTCATGATTGTATGTAACATTTTACACAAGCTGTCTGATTACTCCCTCAATGAATGTTCATCACGTATGTTTTTTCTCTGACCCACAGCTCTCCGACCTCCTACAGTGCCAGCAGCTGTGCAGTGAGAAGGCAGGGGCCGCCATCCATGATGAACACCTATTCATCATAACACATCAAGGTAAGCAGCTGATATTAACGGAGGTGATTTACCTCCGCTTCCAACAATTCACTCGCGCATCTTGGCAGCGGTTTCACAAGGAACATTGCCCCAGAAAAACGATACAATGAAATAATAATGTGCTAGGAATACGTAAGCACTTATGATAATGCACACGTACACGCACACGCACGCTGACACTCATATATCGTTCATGATTTCGACCCCTGATTCTTCATACCGTTTTGTGATGTGTCGTTGCACGTGCATATATAAGTTACACATAACTCTATAGCATAATGATTGTTTGATAGACATTTTAAACGTTGGTGAGTTAAAACGAAAGAACATACGACTTGGTTAATGACAGCAGGTTCTGATCTATTGCACACAGTGCAGTGTCGTTCACATTTCATATACTCACTCGCTCACTAATTCATTATGAACATTTGATTCATGGCTCGTTTTTAAATTTGATATATAATAATTGTGTGTAGTGTTTTTGCATACTTCTACTGTCCGATCCAGATAATTATGGATGTAATACATTTCATCTTTCTCCAGCGTACGAGTTATGGTTCAAGCAGATGTTGTACGAGATAGACTCAGTCAGAGAAATCTTCAACACAAAGGTAAGTAAGTCATTTATTCTTAAACACCTCTTACAGGAGTGAGGTACAAGGTGTCAGCTTAACTCGGATGACGACGTTGTCGACATTGCTCATAAAATAACATGGTCATTGTACCAGCTGATCAAAATATAGACATCGTACCTAAGATATTGGATTCAGTATTAAGAACTCAGATAAGACGCCTAATGACGACAATAAGTAGAACTGTAACCATCTTGTATGATCCTTTGTGATTTTTAGTGAAATGTTTTTTCACCAACCTATATCCTTTCTTTTCCCTTTAATATTAAAAATGCATATTTTAGGGCCGCTTTATGTTCGCTTTTTGTAAACTCCGAGTCTCTGGTCAAATGCATACATTATTTGAAATTAGTTATGGAATAACATGGGTTTTCTTTTACATGACCCAACCTTTATACGTATATACCATTGACCTTCACTACGTCCGTGGTGTAGTGGTTAGAGCGTCCGCCCGGAGAGCGGAAGGTCGCGGGTTCGATCCCCGACCGCGTCATACCAAAAGATGTCAAAATATGGTACTTGTTGGTCCCTGCCTGGCGCTCGGCATTAATGGATACAACAAGGACTGGTCGGCTCGGAGTCAGTATAATGTGTCTGAGTGGGGTATTCATGCTTCTCTGCGGCATGGTATCTCGAGTGGGCTAGCACTATAAAACCAGCTTCAGTCTGGGCTAGTACAAGCAGCCGCACATACACATACACACGCATGCACGTTGTCATATGAGCGAAATATTCTCAAGCACGACGATAAACCCAATTTCACCTCACCTCACCTCAAAACGCCAAATTCCAACACCTAAATGTTCTTAGCCAACACAACTACAAATTCATGTTCGAACGTTATTAGGCACGGTGGGGTGGCCTAGTGGTTAACGCGTTGGCTCGTCACGCCGAAGACCCTGGTTGGATTCCCCACATGGGCACAATGTGTGAAACCCATTTCTGGTGTCCCCCGCCGTGATTTTGCTGGACAATTGCTAAAAGCGGCGTAAAACTAAACTCAGTCAGTCGAACGTTATTAAGTGAGTGAGTATGGTATTGCGCCGCTTTTAGTAATAATACAGAAATTTTCTCACACATTGTACCCATGTGGGGAGTCGAACCCGGTTCTTAGCTTAACTTGTTAACGCTTTAATCATAAGGCTACCCCACCGCCTCTAACATTATTGAATGAAATGAGACAGCGTTTAATATTACCAACCATTGAAGAATGCTGAAAACATACACCTATGTTGTGAAATTCCATTCAGGAGAATTTTAATGGTGCATTAAAGATTTTATATGTATTCAAACGGTTCCTTCGCAAGCCTTGTCAACTGAAATTTATTTTTCCTTTACTGGGACACCATGCAAGCGTTTGTTAAAATCAGTGATGTCTTGTTAAGTCCGATATAAGCAAGGCATTTGATAAAGTTTGGCACAAAGGGATTATCCATAAACTTAAATCATGTGGGATAGATGGGAAGTTATTGAAATGGTTTGAAAGTTATTTGCAAAATAGAGTGCAAAGAGTAGTTATTCAAGGTTACAAATCAGAATTAAAACCGATAATAGCCGGAGTGCCCCAAGGATCAGTCCTTGGACCCCTTTTATTCTTAGTATATATAAACGACGTGGTTGATGGAATCGAAAGTAATATAAGTCTATTCGCAGACGACACATCACTCCATGTAATAATCGATGATCCCCATATGAGTGCGTTTACTCTTAACTCAGATTTAGACAGAATATCTAAATGGGCCGAAACCTGGCAAGTAAAATTTAATCCAAACAAAACTGAAACTATTCAATTTTCACGCAAAACCAAACCTTCTATGAAACCTCCCCTCTCGATGAACGGTACCTGTATAAATGAAGTGCAGATTCATAAACATTTAGGCATTACTTTACAGGAAAATCTCCTTTGGCATTCCCACATTAATGAAAAGATCAGAAAAATTAGCCGTATGGTTAATTGCCTTCGTAGTTTTAAATACAGACTATCACGCAAAACTCTCGAAACAATGTATAAATCCTTTTCTTACCTTTATTTGATTATTGCTTTCATCTCTGGGACAATTGTACAAACGAACAGTCCCTGTCACTAGAGCACCTTCACCTAGATGCCTTAATACGCACAATATGTGGTGCAGTTAGAGGTACGAGCCATGCCAAAATTTATATAATGGGACAAACCTGACTTCCTTAGCCAAACGGAGAGAAATTTCTAAATTAACATTATTTTACAAAATGGTAAACCATATGGTTCCTGACTATCTTTGTGATCTTGCTCCAGGGAATGTTTCTGATAACAGTAACTACAATTTTAGGAATACTGAAAATTATCAGACTATAAGATGCATGATGTCTTTCAGTGGCATTTAGAAGTTGTACATTGATGTCCAAGATATTTTTATGGATTAAACTTCTTTTTTAATTTCTCTCACAACGTTTCGAGACTATTCCAGGTCCAAGATATTTTTATGGATTAAACTTCTTTTTAATTTCTCTCACAACGTTTCGAGACCATTCCAGGTCCCTTCATCAGGTGAACTGGCAGTTAGGACTATGACGTCGTCACTATGACGTCATAACTGAGTTATGACAAAGGTTCCTTGATAGCAGGCTTTCCAAAAAGAATAGTAGACTCGTTTTTTCTTGTATCTAAAGTTCATCAAAAGTTCATCAAAAGTTAATCAAGAGGTCCCATGCACTTGGCAGGTATACACCTTGATCACGATTAATTGCTGGTTTATGTCTCCTTATCTCGACAGCTTCCTGTAGTTTTCTCCGACGCCAGTCATTGTTATTTCTCGAAATCACCCTAATATCGTTCCACATGATTACATGACTTGGGTTATTTGCCTTGTGCTCCGATATAGCTTACTTATCATTTTGTTTGCATACTGATGACTTGTGTTCAGCAACCCGGGTGTTAATGGGCCTGAGAGTCTCGCCAATATATTGATCACCACAGCTGCATGGTATTTGGTATACACATCCTCTAGGGTTGGGCTTCCATTACTAGATCCTCTTCCATTTGCCCGGAGGAGTGTCTTAATTGCTGTACCGCTAGAGAAAGTTACATCAAAGCCCGCTTTGCTCTTGATTAGTCGGGCTATCTGATGGCTGACTGGTCCCACGTAGGGTATTGTGATCCTGATCGGGGATGGTTCAGGCTTGAGGCGTGGTTCTGATGGTTCAAGCGTTTTGGTGATAGTCCTGGAGACAAGACGGGCTGGGTAGCCATTGAGGATAGTAAAGGTTCTCTTGAGGTAATCATTTTCACTCTTTAAATTATCTGGGTGACAGATCGACTTGGCTCTTCTAGTGAGAGTAGCAATAATTGCTTGTTTGATCTGTGGGTGGTGACAGGAGTTGTAATTGATATACTGATCCGTGTGAGTTGGCTTCCTGTACACAGAAGTGACGAGACCTTTGTCTGTAGATTGGAGGGCAACATCTAGGAAAGGAAGTTGCCGGTTCTGCTCAGTCTCCATTGTAAACTTTATCCTCGGATGCTGGTTGTTGAGGTGCTGCAGTAGCTGTGCTGGGTCATCTTGCTTGTCTATGGTAGTGAACGTATCATCTACTTTGCGATACCAGCACAAAGGTTGAAAGGGTGCTGTGGAGAGAGCAGATTCTTCAAAGGAGGTCATATATATTTCAATGATAAGCGGTGACAATGGTGAGCCCATAGGCTCACAGAGAGATAAACGATATTGTCTTTAATATGCTCAATCCCATCAACTCTCAAGCTCCATATGGGAGAGCAACCATAAAAATACACAAGAACCCACCAAAAGCCAGGGTACTTGTCTGTTCACGAGGATCTGTCTTTTACAGCACTGCGCAGCACCTCTCACGCATCCTGGCACCCTTAGGTAAAGATGGGAAGGCATTCATCAGCGATTCATCGGCCTTTATAAGCAAGTTGAAAGAAGATCAACTTTCCGGTATCATGGTCAGCTATGATGTAGTTGACCTATTCACTAACATCCCTTTGCAAGAAGCCCTGGAAATTCTCCGGAACAAGCTCCAGACTCGAATCAAAGAACTTGATACCAGTCTCACGATAAATAGCATCACTAACCTCGCTACAACTTGTTTTGATTTCTCTTATTTCACATTTAATGACAAGATATATAGACAGATACATGGCCTGCCTATGGGCTCACCATTGTCACCGCTTATCACTGAAATATATATGACCTCCTTTGAAGAATCTGCTCTCTCCACAGCACCCTTTCAACCTTTGTGCTGGTATCACAAAGTAGATGATACGTTCACTACCATAGACAAGCAAGATGACCCAGCACAGCTACTGCAGCACCTCAACAACCAGCATCCGAGGATAAAGTTTACAATGGAGACTGAGCAGAACCGGCAACTTCCTTTCCTAGATGCTGCCCTCCAATCTACAGACAAAGGTCTCGTCACTTCTGTGTACAAGAAGCCAACTCACACGGATCAGTATATCAATTACAACTCCTGTCACCACCCACAGATCAAACAAGCAATTATTGCTACTCTCACTAGGAGAGCCAAGTCGATCTGTCACCCAGATAATTTAAAGAGTGAAAATGATTACCTCAAGAGAACCTTTACTATCCTCAATGGCTACCCAGCCCGTCTTGTCTCCAGGACTATCACCAAAACGCTTGAACCATCAGAACCACGCCTCAAGCCTGAACCATCCCCGATCAGGATCACAATACCCTACGTGGGACCAGTCAGCCATCAGATAGCCCGACTAATCAAGAGCAAAGCGGGCTTTGATGTAACTTTCTCTAGCGGTACAGCAATTAAGACACTCCTCCGGGCAAATGGAAGAGGATCTAGTAATGGAAGCTCCAACCCTAGAGGATGTGTATACCAAATACCATGCAGCTTTGGTGATCAATATATTGGCGAGACTCTCAGGCCCATTAACACCCGGGTTGCTGAACACAAGTCATCAGTATGCAAACAAAATGATAAGTAAGCTATATCGGAGCACAAGGCAAATAACCCAAGTCATGTAATCATGTGGAACGATATTAGGGTGATTTCGAGAAATAACAATGACTGGCGTCGGAGAAAACTACAGGAAGCTGTCGAGATAAGGAGACATAAACCAGCAATTAATCGTGATCAAGGTGTATACCTGCCAAGTGCATGGGACCTCTTGATTAACTTTTGATGAACTTTTGATGAACTTTAGATACAAGAAAAAACGAGTCTACTATTCTTTTTGGAAAGCCTGCTATCAAGGAACCTTTGTGTTATTAGCAGTTGTTGTGTATTAGCATGAATTTCATCATTATGTATTAACTCTTCAAACTCACTTATACAGTACTCTCCCTAGTGTACTGTGATGTCACTTGCATTGTGACGTCATAACTCAGTTATGACGTCATAGTGACGACGTCATAGTCCTAACTGCCAGTTCACCTGATGAAGGGACCTGGAATGGTCTCGAAACGTTGTGAGAGAAATTAAAAAAGAAGTTTAATCCATAAAAATATCTTGGATATAAGATGCATATCTACTAATTATGCCAAATCGTTTTTGCCCGATACAATTAAACTGTGGAATGACCTACCTACAAATACGACAAACGCTTCCTCTGTTGGACAGTTTAAGAATTTAATCACATCACAAATTAATACCAACACAATGTTCGATCTAAATTTTGGTAGTCGATTCTGTCAAATAATACACTGCCGCCTTAGATTGCGATGCAGTGACTTAAACAGTGATAAATATAATCGTTTCATTTCTGATAATGCTTCTTGTTCCTGCTCACAAGATTATGAGGATGTATTCTACTATTTTGTCATCTGTCCTAAATATGATAGCATTCGATACGAACCTTATGTCTATGAAAAAGGCTTCTTCCTGCTGGATGTGCCAAATGGTAATAACTCAGTATCACATCAGACGAATATGGATATTCTACGGTCAGTCCATCAATTCATTATTACATCAAAACGATTTCATTCATAAAGGTTTTTGTAGTTTCTATTATTTTCCTATTAGTTTCAACTGGCCACGAAACGAAACCAAGATAAATGGTTGATATCCAAGATTGTTATATTCAAAGATAACTTGTTATAACTAGTATAAAAAATGTACAACAATACGCATAAATGTGAACCTTCACATTTATAATGGAGCGGCATTAATATAAGCCAATTAGGCTTGTTTGCCAATCCTTTTCTTTCTTCTTGAAAGGAATAAAAATGTTTAAACGAAGTCCGGATTAAGAGAGTGGTCGTCGTCAACTCAAGGAGTAAATGATTAAGCGTTCACCAAATAAGATGGTTCGTTATCAAGAAGATGATGATTTGTTTTAGAGTGTCACACGTTGTAGAAATGAAATACTAGATATTAGATATACTAGATATATTACGGGGCACTGGATGGATGGATGCATAAAAAACTTTCACAATTCATAGATTCAGGCTGTTTATGACGATTATTTGTGTTTTCTTTTGGCAGCTAATGGATGAGAGCAAGACCCTCCTGGTTCTCAGTCGCTTAAACAGAGTCGTTCTGATCCTGAAGGTAAGCTACAGCTCCGCTCGAAATGTTTGTACAGAAATTCCAATGAGATTGATATTGTTGCTGACTGTGTTTTGACACATTTAACATTCAGCCAGAACCCAGAAATATGACGTGAATCACCGACCAGTGATTAATGATATAAACACAAATTTACGACATTCGCGAACAAAGACACATTATTTCAACACATACAGATTTGATAGTTTTCTTCAGCTAAACGTTCATGTTTTCGACGAGTCGTGAAACCAGACTTTCAATAGAGCGTTAATGATATCCATTTTTGTATTTCAAAAAGTCTAATACCATATTTAGTGACAGATCAAGGTATTATATTGCGCATTTCTGTGTATTTTTGTATTTTAAATAACTATGCTCTGAAACGTTTAAACACTTTGATGTAATGTATGTACCTGTGGTGGTTTTTATATCTTCCGTTTATGGTAATAAACATAATGAGCAAACTGCCAGGAACCGCATTCGTTCGGTATCTCTTTTCAGGGGAAAATATTGGATATTTAGTATCAGTTTCCGAAACAACGGCGTCTCCAACAAAAAATCCCAATTCTCTCTCTATTTGTTCGTGAGTAAATGACCTGAAAAGATTGGAGGATCTTCATTTTTTTTGCGATATTCAGTGATTGTTGAGAAAAAGTACATGACGTCAGTAGCTTTTATACATCACATATATATGAGTAAATACGCATATATATGTGTATAAATATATGTGTTCACCAGAACACTTGACTTCCCCGTAGAGATGAAATTTTATACGGTGTTTCCAAATTTTCTCCTTTCAATTGTTACCAAAGAATATGGAGAATAACATTCCCGAAACTCGGAATTGCCGTTTATGTGTACCTTGTGATTGAATCCTTACTTCATGTACACGCTCGTAAGAGATAATCCGTAACTGCGACGGTTATTGTCGTTATTATAAATGGTTAGTCTCCTATGTTGAAAATGACGTTTCTTCAAAGGTGTATCTCTTAATGAGCACTATGACTTTTTTGACAGCTTTTAGTTGACCAGTTCACCATCCTTGAGACGATGACCCCTCTAGACTTCATTGAATTCAGGTAAGCTATAGCGAATTGTCAGAGTTCCAACCCTGGAATCATATCCTGAAATCGGATATTGCGGACATCTATGAGTGCCAGTTTCACTTGTAGCCATATTTTACAAAGTTGGATACTGAACTGTTCACACTGGTGCAAGTATTTTAAAAAATATTTATATATTTCAAACAAATATATAAATCAGCGTGACCTTGTGTCTCACAAATCACAAAGTGAATCAGTAAAAACACCATTGTAATAGCATAATTTCCGATATATCGAATAATATACTACTCAAACAAAGAAAAAACACAAATAGAAGGCTATTTGTCAATACTCAACAGCCATGACAGATAAACTATAGTCATATGAAGAAATTCGGTGCTCCTTAACTATTTGTCATGTCATATACATGTCATATATCGTTGCTGTATCTGCAGCGTTTTCATACCATATCAAGTTTACATTGGTCAAAGTAGAACTATTGTGTTGTGTCCTAAATGCAATACTTTGTCGTCTTGCAGGACACACCTAGCAACAGCATCCGGGTTCCAGAGTCTTCAGTTCCGGTTGATTGAGAATAAACTGGGCGTGAAGGAAGTACGATGTCATTTTCTTAAAGCAGGAATATGTTAGGATAACACTAATTACAACTGATAATTGTCAGTCAGTGCTAGAATTTTCTTGTACCCTTTATTTAAACATCGAGTTCGACAACCAATATAACATATTTGGTTTGTGATGAAGTCTGTGAAATATTACTAAAAGTGTCTTATAAAACATATCCTAAACTAACAATTTATATATGGAAACGTACGACTTATATACTACACGAGGACTTATAAAAGCTCTGTTCCATTGTTGAATCATCTTTTGAAAGATAACGTGAAAGCTTTAAAATGTTGAAATTTTATTTATTTTGGGGTAACAACGGTTGTATCCGGCTGCTATAACGTAACTGTAAATATTTGAAAATATGACGTTTGTATTATTGGTAATGTCCATCTTGTGTAATTATTATTAAGACAGTATAACTATGTGTAGAAATTAAGTACAATGTAAGGATTTGTATAAACTCAGTACAACGTTGTATTATCAATAACACCTGTTGTATCGCCGCCAGGAATCCCGCATCAAATACAATCAGCAGCACTACATGAAGGTGTTCAACGACCCCAAGTCTATCCGTCAACTTGAGGATTCTCTAGAGAGCCCATCGTTACTGCAACTGGTGGAAGTAAGACTATTTATTTTCAATCCGCTGCAATTATTACGGTATAAAACATCATTCATATACTTTATTAACAAAACGTAATGTATACTCTGAGAAAAAAAACAACTTTCTGTCGGGACCTGAAGAAGAACTCTTTGGCTATGAGGTTACTGGCTTCTGGTTATTCCGTTGCTTGTGTTTAGTAAGGGGGCGGTGGGGTAGCCTAGTGGTTAAAGCGTTGGCTCGTCACGCCGAAGACCCGGGTTCGATTCCCCACATGGGCACAATGTGTTAAGCCCATTTCTGGTGTCCCCCGCCGTGATATTGCTGGAATATTGCTAAAAGCGGCGTAAAACTAAACTCAGTCAGTCAGTCAGTGTGTTTAGTAAAGAGAGGAAGTCAGACACGATGAGATACCGGAACGGGACAGAGACAATTAACTTTTCAGAAATTTAAGTGGACTTACCTTGCTCGCACAAGAGAGAGAGAGAGAGAGAGAGAGAGAATACACCCCACTTTGTAATATGTAACAGGTCATAATCTGTTTATCTGCCTTTCAATCGATCTCTCTTTCTCTCACTCTCTCTCTTACTCTCACTCTCTCTCTTATGTAATATTATTAACTCTATGAACTTGCTCAGCATGCAGTTGATGAAAAAGGAAGTACTAGCTCTAAAACGTGACAAAGATTAAATATAGTGGTCATGTATTCATGAGACGCACCTGCAGGATTGCACTTGTACTGCATGTATAAAGTCATTTAATAACGTTAACACAGGGAGCAGTTATGTTAATTGACACAGACTATATTCAGTAGCAATTCCTACAGCGCAAATCACCAAATTTCAGCTCTAGTTAAATATCAGATGTGTTGAAGACAGCGCATCAGGTTTTCTAGAAGTGACCAAAACCACTGAAAGACACGTGGTATCATAGCCTGACCGTTTCTGGACAATGTCATCAAATGTTGAATCAGTAGTGAGTGTGACCACCACTGGCTTACACGCCAACACACGTCGACGCATTGGTGTCGTAAGACGACGAATGACGTTAGACGTGACCCCTTGCCATTCCTGTAGGAGACATTGTTCCAGTTGTGAGTGGCGCTGGTAGTCTTCTGATTTGTTGGTCCAATAGTGAGTGTGACCACCACTGGCTTACACGCCAAAACACGTCGACGCATTGGTGTCGTAAGACGACGAATGACGTTAGACGTGACCCGTTGCCATTCCTGTAGGAGTCATTGTTCCAGTTGTGAGTGGCGCTGGTAGTCCCATAAGTGTTCTATCGGACTCATGTCGGGAGAACATGCTGACCAAGGCAAAACAAGGATGTTAGAGTTGTGCAGAAAGTCGTTTGTAAGTCTTGCTGTATGAGGCCTTGGTTATCGTGTTGGTAGACAATGCCACGTGGTTGTTGCTGGATAAATGACAACGCAACTGGTCGCAAAACATCATCCCTGTATCTTCGAGCATTGAGGTTGCCGTGAATATTCACAAGTCTCGTTTTGAGATCGCCGCAGATTCCTTGTTTCTTTTGAAGAATAGTTCATTTATAAATATGAAACTTTCATTGGTATTACACAGCTTCCTTGTAATTGATTATGGTGTTTCTGGGATACTCCTTGACTTGTTGCGATTGTTTGTTCTCAGGCCTTGAAACGTGAAAAGCAAAAAGGATATTTTACTATAAAAGTTTATGTGTCCATGTTCAACCAACAAAAGTCAATAAAACACCTAATCAATACGTTTGTGTTTAACAGCGCTGGTTAGAGAGAACTCCCGGTTTAGCAGAGCGAACATTTAACTTCTGGCAAGTCTTCCAACAGGCTGTGTCCCGATGGCTGGAAGACACAATCGTGGGACCAGCAGAGGTAACCCACGCGATAGCGTCAAACCTCGTTCACCCTCGTCACTTTGTGCCATGATTCCTTTTAGGAACATGACTGTTCATCTGAATGAGTTCATATTATCCCTAAGAGACACTCATATAGGCGTTTAAACAAAAAGTTTGATACAATTTAAGTTAGTGCCCTTAACTTCCTTGCGAAATTCCTTGTACAAGCATGGGCCAACCCATGAATGTCGTAAGAGGCGACTAACGGGATCGGGTGGTCAGGCTTGGTGACTTGGCTGACACATGACATCTTATCCCAATTGCGTAGATCGGTGCTCATACTGTTGATCACTGGATTATTAACATACCGCCGCCATATAACTGGAATATTGCGGCGTTAAACACCAAACCAACCAACCAACTGGCATGGACGTAGGCTTGGCAGTATTTTATTTTACCTTTCCCTGTTTCTAAAGAAGGTCGATTGAACTGAAACAGTGACATTCATTTTACATTAGTGATTGTTTGTAATTGCACTGCATAATGTTCCTCACACCCAACACTTACTGGCAAACAAGGATAAGTTGGACCAGCGCAGAGAACACGTTTACGAGAAAGAGAAAGCTTGACTGACTGACTGAGTTTGGTTTTACGCCGCTTTTAGCAATATTCCAGCTACATCACGGCGGGGGAACACCAGAAATGGGCTTCACACATTGCACCCATGTGGGGATTCGAACCCGGGTCTTCGACGTGACGAGCCAACGCTTTAACCACTAGGCTACCCCACCGCCCCCAAACCCATTTGGTTTGTGAAAGGTACAGCAGATGTAGGCTAGTGCATGTGCATTACATGACGATGAAATTGATTCCGCGCGTAGCTGCACACGCCTTGCTCATAAGACTCTCACGTCGATGTAGCAAGTCTCACAACGCTTGATCGCGGACAACCTGGGACCCCTTCGCTCACAATGGCAAGCGCCAGTGGGTGGCACTCATACATGCTAATACGGGTCAATTGTCAGGTCGGTGCTCAACTTATCCTTGTTTGCCAGTACCTCGTATTTGTGAAATGATCCATTGTTACATCTCCATACAGGAAGAAGCAAACCCGGTGCAAAAGGAAATCATGTTGCAGGAATACCAGAAACAAAAGGTATATCATCCTCGACCATCCAGGGAATCATATGCTTTCTATCATGATAAATGCATTGGATCCGTCCGTCATAATACTCCTTTCTCACGCGTCGGCCATTACTCGCGAAAACGAGGCTCGGTATACACAATGTTTACTTCCGGTATTTCCGTCCCGCGAATTCATCGTCTGCTCGAGAAATGTCATCTTACGGCCCGTCACTGCCACAGTGGACAAGAAGTCTGAAATCTCTACCAGCTGTCGAATCTTCCGACATTGAAGCATGGACGACGAACGCATTCCAACAGCTCTCCACAAGAAAGCCTACACCAATTTCGTTGAATCTTACATTCACGATGTTGAAGGTAAACACTGTGAGAGAATTTTTGACATTTCATGTTTGGCGTACTCGTAACAATAGTAATATGCCTGTTTGAAGTGCAAGTACCGTTTTATTTTTCATCATTTCTGCGAAACCGATGTGGAATATTACATATTGATTATACATAAGGATATACTTTCAAAGGCCTAACTATGATAAACAATATTTACATGGATAAATGATAGTGCAGTTCAAATTATTATGTCAGATTCAATTCATGTGACAACAGCTTGATGACATGTAATCTTTTATTTAACTCATATATTGTTAAATATACTGAATATATAAATTTATTGAAACATCTTCTTTACAGGAAATTATCATAATTTGTGATTTTTCATGAAACACATCATTTATCATAGAGCCATGGTAAGAGTGATATGAGAGGTAGCCTATTACATGTATACATGTATTATACTAAACCAAACAGTTATGTTCCCTCGACCGGGCAGGTAGCCCGGCATGCGGAAGCCATGCTCAATTTTTGTTATTGATGATGGTACAAAAAAATAATTAAACTCTCTGAACAGTTATGTTCCATCAACTGAGCAGGTAACCCGGCACGTGGAAGCTATGTTCAATTTTTCATTTATCATATAACAATATCTACCTTTAAATACCTAAACCGAACAATCAGCTTTACTCAAGCTGTGCTAAATTCATCAAGATGTTAAGATGATTATCCAGTGATTCAAAGAGCTATGTTGTAATTTTCACTTGACAAATAAATTTTATTAGATTAATTAACTAACTCTTTTTATTAATTGCAGTGCGGACATCGTGTGATGGAAGCTTCATTAGAGCAAAGTGTTTCAAATCAATGAAGAAGAATGACTTCCCTCATACACTGAATACACAGTCAGCAAGATGTTTTTGATGGATTGAACGTTTCAAAGGAAGATTCAGTTGAAATAGAAGTTGAAATAGAAGTTGGAAGGTCTCAATCTGACAGTGACATGTGGCATGATTTCCACTCAGATAGATTGACATCTTCAAATTTCAAACCTGTTTATTCCAGAAAAGGTGACTATCACACACTTGCTGAGAGTGTTATGCTGAAAGGACTAACAATAATGTTTTCAAATGTGGTTTTGTTATAAATCCAAGTTGCCCCCATTTAGGCACATCATCAGACCGTAGAGTCAATGATCCTACATCCAGTCCGACATTTGGTTTGCTTGAAATAAAATGTCCATCAAGTGTTGACTCTATCACAGAACTGAAGTACTTACATCTGGTGAATGGAGTGTACAAACTCAGATTATCAGACAAATATGTCCTTGGACAGATGGCTCTATCTGGTTCTAAGTGGTGTGAAAGTGACTTTCATCTTGAGAGAATATATTTCTCTCAACAGAAGTGGGAAGATATCAAAATAAAATTAGACATATTCTACTTAAATCATTACCTGTCACATCTTTGCAATTGTAAGTAATCTTGTGTGTGTGTATCTACAGATGACATGAACACAGACCAGAGTTGGCATTTTATCAATAATTTTATTGTTTACATGACATGTATCTCCTCTCCATGGGATTTGAAATCATCAAAATATATGACTATTGAAAACAATAAAAGAAAATATTAAAGGAAGTGCAGTAATTACAATAAATGTTTCAAGTTTATTGAATGCTGTTCCATAGGGCTGCAATGAATACACTATGTGGCGAATATGATGCGTATCATGAATATTGGATAACAATTACGAATAATTATTCACGAATACAATATTGCAGATACAAATATGGTGTAAACAGCACTAAGTGCAGTCTAGATAAATATGTGAAATCGTACCCTGGCCAATACCAGTGACAGCTTCAAAATTTCTATTACATTGAACTTTATTGCCATGTCAAAATAGAACATTTTGAAGCATATTGCACTTGAACAAGAAAATAGGATCTTTCTACACATTCGGTAAATATTGTACATATATGAGAGATCAATGATGATGAAGTTGAATTTTGCATATGAACATGTTCATATCTTATACTGTTTTCATATCTATATAGATATTTTATGAAATATGTGCAATATTTCAATGAAAAATGTGTTTCATATATCCATTCCACCATCCCTTGTCAATGGTCACATATAAACATTTTCTTGTTTCTTCACCCTAAAATTCCCCTCAACCCAAAGATTATTTTTATTTTTCACACTATAGAAAAAGCATCTTTGGTTCACAAAATGTGCATGAAATTTTGACACTTCTATTTTCTGAGCAGTGGAAGATTCCCAATTAAATCAAGGGTTTGGGGCTTAAAATGAAATAAATAAAAAAGATAAAACCCGTCGGCCCGATCCATATTTTTTAAATAGTGATGAGAAATAAGAATATGTGGCCTCAGGCCCCTACGTTAAGAGAAATTGTGTTGCGCCATTTCTGTAGTGAAGTTTTTTAGCAGGTTGCGTGATAAATAGAGAATACTACACGAGGTCTCATTACATACGAATTATACGAAACGAGTGTCCTTCCTATGGTATCTGACCGAGCGAAAGCGAGGTCAGAAACCATAGGAAGGTCACGAGTTTCGCATAATTCGTATGTAATGAGATCGAGTGTGGTATTTTATATATTACCCACGTCTTACATGCATTAAAGTGACAAAATAGCGTAGTTTTGGTATTGTGGTGGTTTCAAACCGAAACCGGTTTCATAAAGAGGTTGCGGAAGAATTCTGTTCTGACGTACACTTTCGCATGACGTCACACTGTATTGACGTCACTACGCCATTCTCGTCTGTCTCCTTGGCAACCGACGTCACGATGCATGTCAGTTGTTATCGCCTCTCATACAGCCTCCTTCAGTAAACTACTCCGTAGCACCCCGTTTCTTGGTTTGCAGTTGCTTCACTCGGCTAACATCACTGGTCGAAACATTGCGTTTATGTTTTTCGACGGATATAATGTCTCAGTTCGACTCACAATTAAACAGCGACACGGCAACGTTCGCAATGTTTACATTCCCTCAATGCATCTAAGTTGTAGAACGAATGAATTCACGTGTTTGTTATGAATGAACAAGTAGTTCCGTCAAAACGTGACCTAACTGAGAGGTCATCGGTTATCCAGTCAAATCGTTAGAATCTCAGGTAAAGTCGTTATGACATAGGTTAACGCGATACGTCACTCCTGTGACGCACGAGATTGGTATGCAACTGCCCATACGTTGACCACGTGGGTAATAAAGGCGTATAGCTTCGTTTCCAGGGCTGTTCGAATGGGAAGAGGGGTGGGGGTGGGGGTATCAAAGCTTGAAAACATAAGTAAGCTTCCGACTGTAATGAAAACAAATCATATCTGCAACAAAAACGCCATTGTTGTATTGAGGTTATGTAAATATATGTTTTCATCCACATAAACAATATTTAGGCCATAAATCTCATTTTGTTTTGCTGCTGTTGCTGCATAGATATTTCTTCTCCATATATGCCAAATAATATTTTGATTAGAATGTCAAATGCTCTGTACCTTTTGTAAGTGATCGTAATTGTTATTCTAATCAAATGTTGCTCTGTAGATGTTGAGGAAGCTGAACAGCCTGTTAATTGATAGAAATATGACGTGGTGTCATTTACCATAGGCAATAGCGAAACTGTTACCCGAGGAAAAGAACCATTCTTTTCTTTTGCAGGAATCCTTCCAGTCAATATTTGATGAATCTGTCTACAATGGCCACAGGGGAACGGGGTAAGGCATACTTGTCAGTATGTACACTTGCGTTGGATCACTTGTGACCCATCAAAAGGCAAATCAGCTGCTGTCATCCTAAAATGTGACCTGTTACGATCGGGATTAGAATTGGTCTTCAGCAACCATGCTTGTCGTAAGAGGCGACTAACCGGATCGTGTTGTCAGGCTCGCTGACTTGGTTGACAAATGTCGTCGTATCCCAATTGCGTACATCGATACTCATACTGTTGATCACTGGATTGTCTGGTCCAGATTCGATTATTTACAGACCGCCGCCATAAAGCTGGAATATTGTTGACTGTGGCGTTTAACAACCAATCGACCATCCCAAACTTACATATAATTTTTTACTTGTTGTTAATAAACAAAATCATGTTCTATATTGTCCCATAATCTCCAGGTCAATTTGGTCACAAACAAGCAATTACTCGTCTTCAACTATATGCCACAAGTTGTCCTGTTCATTGTGAAGGGTTATATGCCTGTCGGGATACGAGGGTTCGAATCCCGTACTCGCCTTCATGTTGATCCTAGCAACGATCCTATGACGTGGAGGATATAACCGATGTATCTTGTTTCAGGTGAACGTCGGTTGAGCCACAAAGCCTTCCAGGGGGCGATGTTTATCTCCTTGTACAGAGACGAGGCTCGGTTTAACCAGCCTTATAAACTCATCACGTTGTTGATGGACATCGATTCCCTCATGACAAAATGGAGATGTAAGTTTTACAACTCCTCCTTAACATATATGGACCCCACAAAGTTAATCAGCGCTACCTATATATTCCCATGTAACCTTCTGAAGCCCCGTTATGATATTGCTCAAATATTGCTAAAAGTGGCGTTAAACCAGACACATTCACTCACCCTTATTCAATGAAGAAATAAACTAGGAACGCTATAATTAACAATATATCAGCTATTTAGCGTTGACCAATTCAATATACTCAGCAGCAAACCGTAAGTACGAATTCAAAATTAGATTTCAGGCACTGTAATCAAACCATTACAGAAATAGACATAACAATAGACGCACAATTTCAAGACATTACGTGAACGTTTGCATCCATTCAGACTCTTGAATTCAGTATCTAATGTGACCACCACGAGCGGCAATAACTGCAGCCCAGCGTCTATGCATGGAGTGCACCAATCGATTGATGAAGGCCATTGGCACCTTGAACCACACTCTGAGAAAGGCCTGGCGCAATAAATCGGCTGTGTTCGGCCTTGGTATGACATTATTCAATCTCCTCTGAATTTCATCCCAAAGATGTTCAACTGGGTGTAAATCAGGACTAGGGGCTGGCCACTGCATAATGCTGACACCTTTCCGCTGTAGGAAGTCCCGTGTAGCTCTGGCAGTATGGGCCCGGGCGTTATCACGCTGGAAAATGTTGTTCCGGTGACATACGAAATGTGGTATGACGTGAGGTCTGAGAGCTTGGTTGATGTAGCGCACCGCTGTGATGCCGCCTCTTCTCCCTGGACCAAGGTTCTGGAACACCACAGGACCCACTCTCTGGTTCAGGCCTATTCCACCCCATACCATGATGCGTGCACCTCCCCATGAGTCTCTTTCCATAACACATTGGTCTGAGTAACGCTGGGCACGTCGTCGCCATATTCTTGTTCTGCCAGCTGCAGTTGATACGCAGTACCGACTCTCATCTGTGAACAGAACAGTTCTCCATTGCCTGTATCGCCTGTTTTGGTTTTGTAGAGCAAACTGTAGACGTTCACGCCGATGACGAGGGGTGAGGATAGGTCCACGGTAAGGTCTACGGCAATAGAGGTTCCCGCTGTTAAGACGTCGGCGTACTGTATCAGTACTGATTGGTCTTCCGTGTGTTCCCACTGTCTGGCGTGCTGTTCGGATGCCTGCATGAAGGGATTCTGTACATGTCGCACAACATGGCGGTCTTGTCGTCTTGTGGTCACCCTTCGTCTGCCAGTACGGGGGCGATCATTTGTGGTGTTGGTGGCCCGGAAACGTTGCTGCAGCATGTAGATGGTCCGAACGTTGACCTGGAAGTGATTGGCAACGGCTTGTGCAGTGTGGCCAGCTTCAAGTCTTCCTAGCGCCTGGTTCCTCTGAGCTGTCGTGAGAAAGGGCATCCTGCTGACGGTGTAATATGATTGTTTCAACTAGGTTTGGGGTTGCATTTTATAGGGCTGGTCCTTGTGAACAGCACATGCAGCATGAGTTGCATGATTAACATGGAGAACATCGTACCATCTCCGAGATCAGGTTGCGTTTTTAAGACCATTTCCTGAGTTCCATTCTGAGTTTGGAAAGAGATGTTGTCATAAATATACAATCAAAACATTAAATGAGTTTACAGTTATCCGTTTCTGCGAAGGAAAATTCCAAACTGACGTTTCTTTTGCTGCTTAGTGTACTTCGAGTCTGGACCAGATAAGCCAGTATGAGCACGCAGTCAGTCAAATCACCGAGACTGACCATCCAATCCACAGATGGACTATTTCGACAAGAATGATTGTAGGAGACCATTTCTTTACTTCAAGCCCACACGAGGCACATATTAAGATCACTTTAAATATAGTATTGTGTTTATTTTTCTTTTCTTGTTTGTGGAACAAATTTTCCTGATCGTCTTTAAAGCGACATTAAAAAATGTATATACACCTAACACAACACATTCACAAATATATAGACACTTAAAACGACATATTTCGTAACACGTCATCGACAATAGCCATTTGACCAAGCAATTGCTGTCTCAGTCTGCTTGTTGCAACGCTTGCATGTCTGAATTTTAATTGAGATAATTCTATGGATATGGGGCGGTGGGGTAGCCTAGTAGTCCTTCGTCACGCCGAAGACCCGGGTTAGATTCCCCACATGGGCACAATTTGTGAAGCCCATTTCTGGTGTCCCCGCCGTGATGTTGCTGGAATTTTGCTAAAAGCGGCGTAAAACCAAACTCAGTCAGTCAGTCTTTGGATACTACAACTTCTGTATTACAGTGAGTGCATTATTTCGAGGTAGATATCAAGCGATGTAGCACTCACTGAAATGAAAATGTTGACAATGTGTTTCCACAGAATTATCTCCCCTGTTCATCCATTTTTGGTGTCTCCCGTCGTGATGTTGCTGGAAAATCACAAAAAGAGGCGTCACATTATTTTGCCCTTGTAGTATAGTTATATTAGTTTACCATAGATGTATGAACGTGAGTCAGAATGAGATTTGTGTTTACAGACAATCACGTTATGATGGTGCAGCGTATGATCGGCAGCAAAGTCGGCACTGGAGGTTCCTCGGGGTATCAGTACTTGCGATCCACAATAAGGTAATAATAGTATAAATTGTACAAATGGCAAACATGGTATAGTGTTTATATACTCAAAATATAATGTCACGCTACAAAAGAAAAATGGGAATAATACGCATCAGGAAAATTGAATTGAATTTTCGCAACTGTAAATTTTCATTGTCAAGTTTCAGTGTCAATTTCCAGACCACTAGCAAATGTCTTCCTGATGTAAATAAACACACGTATGCAGATATACACACGTGTTTATATAGGTGCTTGTGATTGCCATATAAGTCTACTGAGTTGATTGATCACGGCAGCTAACAACAGACTTCTATTTCAGCGACAGATACAAGGTATTCTTGGACCTGTTCAACCTTTCAACCTTCTTAGTGCCCAGAGCATACATTCCAAAACTGAGCAGTCGGTTGAAGCGGCGATTGAGCGTGCTTTCAGCTGACCAATTAATGGACGACATTAACGGAGACGAGAACGAGCTGACCAATGGGGACAGAGACTCAGAGTCGGCCGATGAAAGGACACTTGTTGACGGAGTGGTCAGTTTCTCTCTTGGAGACTGAAGACAGTGCAACCAAATATTCCAAATATTTCATATGTATGCAGCCAAATATTTCATGTGAATCCTGTTAAATATGCCATGTGTATATTGCCAAATATTCCATGAGTATACTGCCAAATATTTTATATGTATACTGTCAGATTTTCCAAGTGTATATTTATAATATTTCATGTAAACATGGCCACACATTTCATGTGTATGCTCATGTGTACATCATACAATATTTCATTGGTATACTGTGAATTATTTCATGTGTAAACTATCCAATATTTCATGTGTTTACTGTGAAATATTCCATGTGTATACATGTTTTGTAGCCAAACATATATGAAATATTGTTTACTAGTTATATACTGTGAAATATTAATTGTATTTACTGTGGAATATTTTGTGTGTGAGGTGCACAATGTTTCATGTGTATATGGCCAAATATTTCATGCATATACTGTGACATATTTCATTTATATGCTGTTCCACGTGTAACTTGCCAAATATTCCATGCGTACATACTGCCAAACATGACAGACATCGTCACACGAGCCGTTCTCAGCGACTATCATTAGGGGTCGACAATTGTATGGGATTGGTGTGGGTGGAGGGGCTGCAATGCATAGGAAATACTGATAGTGGGTTGAAAGCCTTGATTAGAAGCCTGCGTACACAGCACGCTCAGGACACAGTTGATATGAATGACTTAACAGTTAGTTTACATAGGAGTGATGAGCGATGGGGTAGCCTAGTGGTTAAAGCGTTCGCTCGTCACGCTGAAGACCAGGAATTCCCCACATGGGTACATTGGGTGAAGCCCATTTCTGGTGTCCCCCGCCGTGATATTGCTGGAATATTTTCAAAAAGCGGCCTGACACTAAACTAAACCCACTCACTCACAAACTCACTCACTCACTCACAAACTCACTCACAGTATGGCTGCATCATTTAGACATCATTTAGCACATCTATACGGAATCTAGGATGATGAAACATGTCAGTAAATACTGGATGCAGTCATTTTATGAAGACAAATTGATGTTTTTCTTAAAACCATGATGATTGTTTCCTCTGAAATCAGGACAAAGAAAATGAGAAACGTTATAAAGGTTATGGGAAGTAAACTTAATGCGCGCTTATAAACTTAAAGGCGATTCGGGAGTCAAATGAACACAATTGAACATCGCTATCGCAGTATGATTTGTTAATTTTAATTTTTCTTGCACGGTCCCGCCCGGTTTAATGACGATTCAATGTACATGCCTATCCAGTTGTATGGATGTTGAAGTTTTAAATTATTAACAGTACGCATGTGTAATAAATATGCAAATGCAGTTGTATAATGTTTTCATGTCATGATCGTAAACGTGATTTACATAACATCAAAACATATTAAGCTAATAAACAATTCTGTGATCTAGCGTCCAATTGCACAAAGCGAGATTATCGTACTGGCTGCGGTGAAGCTATGCAAAACATACTACACGATTGCCATTGTTTGAATAAATGTAATTTATATAAACTGAACCCGGTGAATGTCGTCACTGATGCAGTGTGTTATTGATTGTTTAGACCACAATTCTCCATCACGATGACAACTGCAAATGCTCGAAACTGGACCAGCCAATCCAGTGATCGATAATGTGCTCAACGACCCATGTCGTGGGGTCATGGTGGTGACACGCAATCAAGTAAAACATGAAGCCTGGCCACTCTATCTATTTTGTCTACTTTAACGAGCATCATAGATTTTGGAGGACCTCTAATCCCAAATGGGGCGTCTTCCCTTTATATATGGGGTTAGCCTAGTGGTTAAAGCGTTCGCTCGTCCCACCGAAGACCCGGGTTCGATTCTCCACACGGGTACAATGTGTGAAGCCCATTTCCGGTGCGCTCTGTAATATATACCTCATTCCGATTACCGCATAGTTAAATAAGAACTGCATCATGCATTTCGGGTAGCGTGTAGATAGCACGTGTCCCTTCAAGTGCAAGACTATCATCTGTAAGCGCAGATATTGGGAGTTACTAAAAAGTTCCCCCTTTCTTCAATGTGTAATTAAAGTGCCACATGTTTTTCTAGCATACAGAAGAATAAGTAATGATGTGACGCGTTCTGTCGCAATGCCCTTGTTGGACAGAGGTTGGTAAGGTACGAACCTTTATCCTTGTGTATATGCAGGAATTCTTCCCACGGTGCTGAGGGGTACCTTCAAACCTTTCGATAAGAAAGATAAAATTGTGCAATCTGGTTGTGAAATAACGTCTCCTATTTAGAAGACTACACAGAATCTGCATTTGTGGGCATCTTTTAATTTGCTATACCACAATCAGATATGTTCTGTCAATCGGCAGCACTAAACCAGACAATCCACTCGATTGATATAATAACCAACGACCAAGCAAATCTCCTTGCCTAAGCACCAGATCCATTCATATAACCAGCATAGGCTGCAAGAAACCATTTACAATCCAGAATCACAGGTACAACCGACTATCAGTAAAGCTGAGCAATACACATGGTAATTACATTGTGCATAATTAACACATACAGTCTTTAACTGCAATTGTGTCGTCGAAAAATGTGCAGTTTAGGTTAAAAGCATCAAACATGGCATATTTATACCGTGAACTATTCTGAACATTTCTAATATAGATCCAGCTCAGCTCGGGTTCTTGCTGGCAAGTGGTAAAAATCACAGATGACCCCCAACATGGCTGAAATCTCAAAGTATATCCTCCATTCTCAATGTTACATAATTTTATTAAGATTATCGTAGCATTGTTTCAGGATTCACAATTAACTGGGGAAGTTTTTCATTCGGCAGTATTTCAGCCATATCGTGACTGGGTTAAACATCAGTGCTGAAGATAATTGAAATCTGATCATGAACAGGGTCAGTGATGTGACGAAGTTACCGTTCATAGGTCACCCATCATAGAACACAGATACGGGTCTGGCACAACAAGAGGACGGAAATCAGAAACACCGCCGGTTTTGTTTTCGATTTGGAGTTTCAGTAGAATAAAGAATATACATTTTGTGGTTAAGAGAGGGGTCTGTATGTGTATGAAACTCGGTCTTCTAATACAGCTGGAATACAAATAACAAAACAGCATGTTCATCGGTTTACTGAGGTATGAATAGTGCAGTAATTTGATCAGTTAATTTACATTGACTTCAGAAGTCAGATAATCGGCCAGCCGAATCCGTCATGTACTTTAATTCCACGCGTTGTACTTCTCAAAGGGCTGTACTATTGTTCTGCCACAACTCTATCCGACATGTACACATATTATTTAAAGTTGTACAATACGTTTTGAAGAGCATTAAATTACAAATTGCGGTAACAATGTACCAGAAATACCTAAACTTTAAATGCTATTATTGTGCTTCATTTTAATTTAACAACAGCCGTACATATTATGTAGGAGGAATCGGTGATCAAAGAATCATTGTTCTGAACACTGCATACATTAGCTGGATTCATAAGTATTTAATCATATTACCACGTTGTATTTGATAAGGTTGCATTTGGTTGCATGGAATCAGACTAATCAAGTACCCACGTCTCTCTGTATATTCTTGGAATAAAAGACCATAAAAGCACAAAAACACATAATGATGAAGTCTATCAAGATCTAGGTGCAAACTGACATCAGAATAGTCTTCGAAAGAAAACAATATCGAAACTGCCAATTTTGACTAGTCTTGTTATTTGTGAGGCACAGAGCTCACAAGGCACAAAGCTTGATATTTGTGAGTGCACCTTGCTGGTTTGATGTGTAGATAAATAGGCAACAAAGTTTACTATTTGTTCACCTTACAGATTTGATGTATGGATCACATATTTATGCATGTTGAACAGAACTCAACACTCATTCGAACATAACAATGCATGGGAAGTCAAATTTAATATCACATCTAGCTAGAGACGCAAATGAATCGACATGCTGAAACGTTCAAACACCTAAATGCCCAAACTACAATTGTGTGTGGTAAGTTTCTCGTAATGTTCCTGATAGGATCTTGTTTTTCATCCCCGGTATACAATATTATCCCCATTAATTCATGTATGTTCTTTCATGAAACCTTGCCCACACAAAAACCAGTGTAAGTGTGCTTTTTGCTATTAGTTTTAGGACATATATTTTTCCGATTTCATAGCAACAAGTTTGACTTAGGCTCAGTTATCTGGGATGTGCTTTTCCAGAGCATATCGTCAAACTACCGGTTTTCTTCAGAACGCACACATACTGACCGCATTGTACACTGGCGTTTTATAGTTTTGATAGAAATTCAGTTATTCGTGACACCTCTGTTTATTCCAGATCACTGGAAAAAAAGATGATTTATTCTTTCGAATGTGTAGGGGAAAGGATGGCATCTTCTAATGACCCTTGTTTTAACCTACTGTACTGCTCACATTCTGGTCCTGTCTGTTTCTACACAACTGGAATTCCTGAACATATGTATTTTGAAAAATGATATTCGGTTCACGTTATATCCCGAACGAAACGCGTATTGGTTTTTAGCTACCGCAAATCAGGTGCAACGGGCGCAACTGAGAAACAGCACGTAGTGACACCGACATCGTTTACCGTGATGTAAATATATTCAAAGTAGGGTCAAGTCTTTTCAAGTAAATACAGAACCGACACGTATTGGAGGATTTATAGAACCTTGTGGTTAAAGTGTTCGCTCGTACCTGGTTCGAATCCTAACATGAATACAAAGTGCCAGGAATATTTCTATTGTTCTCCGTAGTGATATTATTATAAGCGGCGTCTCGCTCATCACGCGATATTTGGCATATCCAAGTTTCAGTGATGAGGGGCGGTGGGTAGCCGTGTGGTTAAAGTGTTCGCTTGTCACGCCAAACAACCGGGCTCGATTCCCCACATGGGTACAATGTGTGAAGCCCATTTCTGGTGTCCCCACGGTAGTATCGCTGGAATATTGCTGAAAGCGGCGTAAAACTAAATTCACTCACTCACTACTATTAGCGGCGTAAAACCATACGCATTCATATTTATCCACTTGTCGTTGAAGGTGTTTTCCTACAAGAACTGTCCGGGAAAGACTTGCCTCTCCCACTCGTTTTTGTAAAGGTGTGAATTGTGGATATGATGGTATTCCGTATATAAGATATGCTCTAAGTTATCTTTCATAGAAACCAGGCGTAGAATAGATAACCTGTTCAACCTAACGATGAAAACGGTCTTTACATGTAAGTGGAAACTGAGAAAACATTCAGTTCCTTAGTCCAGACTTACCCTTTGACAACGCCAAGTAGAAAATCGAATCAAAGGATTTACTTATCAGATTACTGTTTTTAGCTTGTAAGCCGTCGTTCTTGAACCTTTCTATGTTTGTTGCATAAGGGGTGAAAGTTTTGTTCGAGTCATCAGCATTTAATATCAAATCGTTAAGTCAAAATTTCCTTCAGATAGCCTTCTTTATCTGCTTTGAAAATAAAATAAAAACTCTTTATAGGAACTAGGCTTGCTCAAGGCATCAAATATTGCTCACCAGACCATCTACAAGAAAGACAAACCACTACATTGTATAAGTAATTCCCACTTTATAAAATAAAAAAATGTAACTTTTTATGTAAATATAATATTGTTTTAGTTCGTTTATCCTTGTATGCGGCCGTGACCCCAGTCTGGTTCGCTGAGTCCGCTGCGCTGCCCTTCCACCGACCAAGGCAATACCTGAGCAATGGCGGCCTCCATTGGACAAACAAACACGGTGGACACGACTTCTTTCATTGAGAATTCTAGAAGTTGAGGAGATAAGGAATGAGGATAATTTTATGGACATACAAGTTCTTTATTCTGTATTGGCGACGTTTCTACATAGATTGTAATGTCGTTGTCAAGCAAGTGATGACATAGGTTCGCCTATACAGAATAAAGAAGTTGTATATCCATAAAAATTGTCCGCATTCTCCCGTGTACACGACATGTAATTACCAAAGATAAAACCTATAAAGGCAAAATGTAAAACCGTTATACACACACATTTTCAACAGCAAGTTACGCGTTACAATTCAATGTCAGCTCATAGACTTGCAATGTCGACATGTGTTCTATAAATACATTCATGCTGGTGATATATCTTTTGATAAACTTGTTAATGGACATTTTCAGCATTCGTTTCAAATCATACTTAGGATATTTGCATGGTGTTTGCTCGCATAAATAATGCATTTATAGCTCCAGCAAAAGTTTACGTAAAATGTATGAATTTGACCTTGTACTGAGTTGTATAACAGGAAAATGGTTGAGGACGGCATTCATGTTTATGCAAAAATGAAACACAGTAACTGCAAATACCGCATTAGACAGAACCTCTTGTCTATGCATATTCAGATGAGTTTAAGTGTCTGGCACTATTTTTCCCAAGTTTCTTGACCAATGCCATGACCAGATCTTAACCCATTTGATTATTTATAGGTCAGAATGGATGGATGCGAGCAACGAAGCCATCCCCAGCCGCAGACATTACCAGGTTTGTATAAAGTACCAAACATTCCGGACCTGCAATCTGGAATCCGAGCCTACGGAAAGACGACGCCACATCATGAACAGGAATGGTCATTACCATTTCACGGGGCGGTAGGGAATAGCCTAGTGGTTAAAGCGTTCGATTTGATTCGTGACGTGATCTATAATATGTGAAGCCCATTTCTGGTGTCCCCCAC